CTCAAAAACGATGAAACTGGCCATAACACACAGATTGGTACTTAATATTTTATTGCACAATATTTTGAGACAATCAAGTGGTTTTGGTAACTGTGAGACTTCTGCACCTCTCCACAGGTGTTTTGCTCCAGCTGTCTCTGGTTTGAAGAAGGCTCTTCTCCAGACTGTTCGGCTCCTTCCAGGGCTCAGAAGGCCACTTCAGAGTTGTCTGTTTTGTTCTGAGCCATTCTTGGTGGGGGGGGGGGGTGCATGTCATTATCCTGTTGGAGAACTCATAACCTGAAACTGAGCAGCACGTTTCTTTCCAGAATGTCTTTAGAGCTTTGTGATTTCATTGGGCACTGCACCAGTGGCGCCTGCAGAAATGTTTTTCAGGGGGGCCATGTGGGGGTGGGGGTGTCACTGAAAAACCAGGGGTGGCTCACCAAAACTAATATCTATAACAGAAATTTTTATGATGCTTTTGTAAAAATAACTAATTGAAAACTATGGAAATATAAAGCTATGGATTTGCCAACAGATGGTAAATTTGTAATTTCACAGATAATTTCACTGATTTAATGACATTCAGAGATAAAAAAAAAAAAAAACGGGTAAGTATTTGTAATGTTGGGGGATCCACTGGTGGGGGGTCTGGGGGTCCCCCCCAGAAAATTTTTAAAGAAGTAAATGCCATTTTCTGCATTCTGGTGTATTTTAACAGGTTGTTAAACAGATTTTTACCTACATAAGAAAACACTTAATGTGAGTATTGTATGGGTAAAATGAACTAAATTTATTTGTTAAACAAGAGAAACACTGGATGAACTAATGTTTTATGGTAAATGTGGGGGTTTAAATGAATTAAACTTTAAATGTGATGGGGACAGTTCCCTTCAAAAATGATTGTCATTTTATTTAAAAATGTCAAAATACATATTTTAAAGACATTTACAAGGAACAAGCTTTTTAAAATTTAAAGCATCACCTCTTCTATGCATGTTAAAAGTTTTATTTGCTTGTTGATGTTTACTTTTGTGAAGAAAAACTGTAATTATAAAAACCCAAAACTGGAAATAAAGACTAAAACAAGCACAATTACAAACTACATCTACTGTAGTATTATCCAAAACTTTTATTTGCTTTTTATGTCATATAATAAATATGATTTTGGTCTGTGAGAGAAAACTGGAGAACAGAAAGTTGATCTAACAACCTTCTTCCTTAGAGGCAACATGTTGCTCTACCACCTGTACCACTGCCTAATTTTATATTTATTATATTATTATTAAAATTATTTAATTAATATTTGATTAAAATATATCTATGAATATAACCTCATGAGAACCTCCATCTTTATTTGAGAACAGTGGTTTTAGACTGGTCTGGTTGTCCTTATTCAGAGGAGCTACATTTTAGTTTTAATTTAATTTATTTTAAATAAAATATAAATTCATCCATCCATCCATTTTCTGTACACGCTTCTTCCTTTTCAGGGTCGCGTGGGTCACTGGTGCCCATATCCAGCAGTCACAGTGCGAGGGGCGGGGTACACCCTGGGCAGGTCGCAAGTCCATCACAGGGCCACACATAGAGACAAACGAGACAAACAACCATTCACTCTCTCACTCACACCTAGGGACAATTTAGAGTTATCAATTAACCTAACAGTCATGTTTTTGGTCTGTGGGAGGAAGCCGGAGTACCCGGAGAGAACCCACGCATGCACGGAGAGAACATGCAAACTCTACCCAGAAAGGTCCCCAGACCGGGATTTGAACCGGTGACCTTCTTGCTGAGAGGCATCAGCTCTACCAACTGAGCCACCGTGCCGCCCAATTGTTTTTAATTCTTGTTTAAAAAAATCTGTGTTTTATATTTATGAGGTTCTATTCCTAAATAGGTAGGGGAGTTGATAAAGGAAAAACCTGGGTACTCAAGAGGATAAAACTGGGGGGGCTACAGTGGCCAGCTCATTCTGGCCCCCTTGCACTGCACAAATTCAGACCCCCTGTGCCAGTTGCAACAAAGCAGTTCCAGAACAGAACTAGCGCTAGGCCTCAGTGTCATCAACTCGATCAGTGGCGGATCTAGGATTTTTCTGAGTAAGGGGTCATCAAGGGGCCACTATACTTATAGAGGGGCCAAGTTTTTGTTCAACCTTCTTTCACATAAATCCCCAGTTTTGGTAAGGTGTTTACGTTTAACAAGTCACACAGGTTCAAACACCTGTAATGTAATATATGTTTTTAAAAAAACCTGCACAATAAATTCTCCTTACCAGTTTTACATATATTTTTACTAGATAAAATACTTTCAAACACAGAGCATTTGAGAAAATCTAGCCATCATTTGTCAGTTGTAAGACATTTTGCAGTATTGTTCTGATTTTCTTAAGAAGATAAGAAAGACTTCTGTAAGCTTGCTTCATGCTGGACTTTCCTATTTCACTCATTAGCGCCTCTAGTGTTTGTACATGGAACTGCATCTGCCATCATTGCTCCCATGAAAAGGACAGATGAATGACAGAACAGGGGCACTTCAGGGGGCCAATCAGATTTCAGCTGGGGACAACGCCCCTGTGGCCCCACCCCTGAACTCGATGTTCACAGACCCAAAAAGTTTCAGTTTTGTCTCATCTACCCAAAGAACATCTTCCCAGAAGCTTTGTGGCTAATAGATATATATTTAAACAAATTAGTTTTCAACTGTGGCATCTTCCAAAGTTGTCTTCCATTAAGTTTACTTTGGCTCAAATCGTGACAAATGTTGTGATCTGACACTGATGTAGTTTGACATTTTAACCTCCATTTTTGTGCAAGTTGTTTTGGTCTCTTTGGTAGCCATTTGTGTTATCCATCATCTTGTGGCCACATTCAGGGAAGTTGGCTACAGTCCTGTGGCTGTAGACACAGAAACATCAAGCAAGCTGCTCAGAGATGGTCTTATAACTTTTACTTTTTAACATGCTTGTCAATAATGTTCATTCTAAACTCTTGAGACAACTCTCTTAGATTTCTGTGGTGCACGTTCGGTGGTACAACATTTCAACCTTTAGACAGATTAACTGATTACAGGACTGAAGATACTTACAGGATAGGACACCTTAATGAACCATGTCACAATGGTGAAACAAAATCATAACGCATCATTTTTTATGTCAAGGCCAGTTTCATTAATTTGATTTTTTTATATAATTCTGTTGAACTTTTTGATTAGATCAGTTTCAAGTTATTTCAGTGACCTTTGTGGGTATTTCTTTAACAAAAGGGTAGCAATTTGTCAACGTCTACATATTAACGGCAAGCATACAAGGTTTTATGCTGTTTATGTGTATTTATGTAGCTTGATATATCTGAATACTCTGAAAAGTCTGGATGACTGAAGTTACTGCTTTTCAACTCAAAAAGTTAGAGGTTGTGGTTTTTAGACCACCTTATGTTAGTACAAACTTTGCTTCCTTTCACTTCCTTGGGATGGCATTAACTCAGCTGCTTGGGCTAAAGTAAGGAACCTTGGTTATGTCTTTGATTAGAATATATCAATTAACTCACAACATTGTTGAAATTAGAAACATCTTGTCCCAAATTGATGCAGAAAACTTTTCTATGAATTAATCAGTTCTAGGCTGGACCTTTGTAATTCTATAAAAGGATGTCTAAAAAGCTCTCTAAACAGTCCTCAGTTGATCCAAAAATACTGCTGAGAGTTGGAGAAGGAAATTTTGTGACTGATTAGTTGAATATTAGATGTAGTTTTGTATTTTATACTTTCTGATCATTGCAGTGTTTAAGGCTGTAACAGAATAAGAGTTGGTGTGTGTCTATCATGTCATTCTTTAGCCTGAACAAAAACGGGTTATGTTCTACGTCTGACGTCAAAGGTAACACCTCCTTGGGTGTAACAAGGAAGAGATGTACATTATAAGATCAATTCATTATTATAGCAGAGAAGTGTTTTTCAGAAGAAGTTGTGTGTTGCAGAGCCTCTGCTCAGAGCAGGGCTCCTGTGTTTGTTTTGGTTTAGCCCAAGGTCTTATGGTGAGGCCTGCGCTGAATGAACCTGACTGGAGTCAGAAGACAGAGAATAAAGTTTTGACAAGAAATCCAGCTGGATTCCTGTTTATTCGAACATACCATTTTGAATAACGCAATTATTTCTACAGGAGGATTGGTAGTTTTTCTTATATTTTGGCTTCTCTTAGACTCCCTTAAAAATTAACAAAATATTATATATTACTTCTAACATACAAAGCTCTTAACAATCAAGCTCCATCATATATTAAACATCTTATTGTTCCACACTTTCCTAACAGAGCACTTCACTCTCAGACTGCAGGTTTACTTGTGGTTCCTGGAGTTTCTAAAAGCAGAATGAGAGGCAGAGCTTTTCATCATAAGTCTCCTCTCTTGTGGAACTAACTTCCAGTTTCTGTTCGTGAGGCTGACACTTCTTTGAAGCTTAAGAATTTCCATTTGGATAAATCTCAGTGTTTCATGAGCCATCCCTTAATTAGGTTTCTGTTCTTCACTCTGCTGCTGTCTTCACCCTCTACTCTGCTATTGTTGCCACTAAGTTTGTTTTTCTGTTTTTCTTCAAATTGAAACTGTCTTTATCAGCACTTTTGTGGCTCTTTCCTGTTTCCTCGATCCCCAGCGGGTTAAGATGGCTACTCCTCCTGAGTCTGGGTCTGTTAGAGGTTTCTTCCTGTTAAAAGGGAGTTGTTCCTTTACATTGTTGCTATTGTGCTGCTCTTGATGATGTACTGTATGTGATCATATATGTGCTGAAATGAAGATCCAACACAATCAGCTATTTTCCTTAGGTTTACTAAATGACATTTCATAAAATACCCACTGTGGGTGTGTTATCACCACTGGATTAAACAGTTTGTAATTGGATTTGAAAGTGGATGTTTTTACCTGAACTTGGGACATATGATTTCATGCACATGGTTTTGTTTACTGCCCTTAGGTGACTTCAGTTGTAAACTGGCACTGAATAAATGAAGTGAGTTAAACTGGTTTGAAACTGAACCAATGCATCTTTATTATGTTGGCCTGTTGTGGATTTTTCCTAGTATCTTTTTTATAAAGTGCATTACATTTTAAAAACAAACAGCAAAGCTTCTTTTGCAGTCTTCTTCATACAGGATAGAGCTTTCATACATTTGCTAATATGACTTGCTAGTTTTAACTGGTTTGTTGGTTATCACTGTCTCTAAATCAGGAATAGAATCAAGCTGGTTTCTAATGTAAAGAATGGTTCATTAATCAAAGATGATCAGTCCAAATGAATGCTTTCATTGGTGTTGCTTGGTGTAGCCCTCTCCTTCTTCTTCTTGTAGCTGGGCCAACGACAAACAGGACAACAATGCCTGCCCGCTGCTAACCACACTACAATGCACTGTTGATGGAAGGCGTGGCCACAGGGCAGACCCATTAGCAGCTCCTCACTCACAAAGTTCTCCAGGCACACCACACACTCTGAACACAGAAGCATGTCAGCGGGCCACTGTGACCAATCATACGCAGTATGGTCACATGGACAGGTGCTGATAGGATCATTGTCACTGCTTAAAGATGGGTCTGTGTTACCGTCCTGATTGCACAGCTCTCTTTGGTGCCCTGTGCTGTGGTGTGAATGTCTGCTGAGGCCTGCAGGAGAGTAATCCAGCAGTTCTTGGCTCTCCATTTCATTGTCTTGTTGTATACCAGACACACTTTCCTTATGATGACTGACAGCTTTCAGCCTCCAGGTTGGCAGCAGTTTAATGTAATCTACATTTACTAGTGGACGAAGCCAAAGATCTGGGAAAGCTAAACGCTCAAGTAAGAAGTTTGGATCATCCTCCCAGTCTGAGTAGTCAGATGGAAACTGCTGTAGTGATGCAATTGGGTGGAGCAAATAGGAAGTGTACCAGTCCCACAAATTTGCTAACCACTCCAGGTTGGTAGTGCTGTCCTCTTGGTTCCTGGTGCCACAGCGGCGTTTTTTCTCAAAGTAGTCCACTAACAGACCATGGAAAAGGTAGGTGGACAGGAACAGTGCTGGATGGGATGAGTAGAAGGTCCAGTCAGCTCTTATTAAACTTGCCAGTGTGGTTGTGTCAGCATAACGTAGCAGCTTCAGACTGAAACCATACAGTGTGTTCAGGTAGGGCAGCTGAAGGAGAGCCTGGATGAACAAAACATGAATAAATAAATACAAAGCTTTACTTGTAGTTAATCATTTGCATCTCAGTTGCCAATTACTCTGAACTTCAGGGTCAGCTGGTTCCTTAATACTCACTGGTCACTTTACTATGTGTTAAATACTATTTTTATTACCCTGTTGGAAGTAGTAGTTAAAGAATTGATTTATGTATAAAACTGTGTAAAAATGCATATGATAAAGAGTAATACGAATACAGAACGTTAGCTTTCATCTGTTTCAATGTTTAAAGTAAAATAAATCACATGGTGGGAAAATGTTACATACCGTATTTATTCATGTATAATACAATCTCATGTATAATATGATATAATAATACGTATAAGCTTAAAAAGCATAAAAAATTTAATCCTCAAACTACCTCCAATTTCATACAGACCAAGATTTTTCAGCCTTTGCAGTCTTTATACACATCAGTAAAATGATCATTGGACTGTTCATTTTATTTTAACAACATATGTACTAAAAGGTATTTTGACAACAAATATTTACAGTATCAGCTGTAGCAGCATCATGTGAATTCTGGCATTATACACATAGTCCACCAGGAGGCGCCAACACAAAAATCAGAGACTTCACATGAGATTTGGGCAATCTTGTGGGGGAAAAGCAGATTACTTCCTACTCACAAGCGCCCCCTCTGGTGGGGAAATGCTTTTTTCAGGGATATAACCTTTTTCAGAACACCGGTAGACGGCAGCCATTACAGACGAACACGTGTTTGTTGTTGTTGTTCGAGGAGCGGCCCGGTCACATGCTAATGTCATTAGTTTGTTATCATTACTAAGGTGCAGGAATACTTTTTTTTACATCACGTCGCCTGCTTGGATCTGTTATTATCTCGCTCTGAAGCAAGGAGGAGTGTCAGAGGTAAGCTTGTTTCAACTGCTTTTTACGTCGTGGTCTCATTTCCGGACTCAGGCATTTTGTAAATGAAGCCGATTCAGTTAAAATACATAAGTAAAAATATTTATCCGAGTATAATACTACCCCCAACTTTATGGATGATTTTATTGATTTAATTTATGTATTATACTTGGATTTTTAAAAATCCATTATACACACAACCAGATGACTTTTTACAAGCAAATCCACAGAAGCCCTGAAAATGAAACAGAATATATATATTTTTTCTTTTTCTTTAATGGACATCTTATTTTGAAATAGTAATGTATATAGTGTATTCTAAGCAGTCCTCAAAAAGGTAAGAAGTGTGCACTTTTAGTCATTAGTGATGCCCCTGTATTTATGCTTAGTGCCTACAACAACTAGGAGTAAAATTCTCTGCATAAGCAGCATCTTGAAGTTTCTTTGGGCATGACACTGTGCCTCGCCACAGTGAAGTATTGGTATACGAGTGGAAATATGTATTACTGTTTTTACATCCATCCATTTATCTGTACCTGCTTCTTCCTTTCAGGGTCACGGGGGTCACTGGTGCCCATATCAAACAGTCACTGTGTGAGGGGCGGGGTACACCCTGGACAGGTCACAAGTCCATCACAGACGTACAACAGAAGGAAATTATTTTTTGACTGCTTGCAAGCTTAACACACGCAAGACCTGTAGCATCTGAGATGGAGCTCATGAGATTTTGCTGTTTCTCTGTGTATAATATTGTCTGTCCTTGAAGTGAATTTGCTGGGATGGCCACTCCTTGAAAGATTGGGAGAAGTTTAATCTGCCATAACACACTCTCTGTGGCAGGCTGTGTGTTAACTTCTTAGCAGAGGGCCGTGGGACCGCATTGATTTTGAATAAGGTGCAATACACTTTCTCACCACTGGTAGCAGTAGTGCACCACTCAGATGTTTAACAACTTTTTAATATGTAGAAGAAGAACCTTAGAAACCTGCTGAGAATGGAAACTTATTTTAAATGAAAAATAGAAGCAAAAATGAAAGTAACCAATCAAAAAAGGCCAAAGTTTGTCACTAATATGAAGTACTGCTTCTGTTTTTACCATGCAATATTTTAAAAGTTCAAAACATTATCAAACACAGTTGCATATACAGCTATATTTTAATTTGCACTTTAATTTTTGTAGTTTATTTTTAAACATTTTGAATGTACTTTAAAGAAAATTTAAACTTGTCAATAATCTGTTGTTACTGTTATTGTTTGTCACTAATATGAAGAGCAGCTTCTGGTTGCAAAAGTTTAAAAAGGCTATATTTTCATTTGTACTTTATCAAATTTATTTTTATCATTTTTTATTTGAAACATTAAACATTTTAAATTTATTTATTTTATGCCCACAATTTTATTTTTTGAATTGTCTATTTTTGTTATTGTTCGTGTTAAAAAATATACATACACTCACCGGCCACTTTATTAGG